TTTACAGTGGTAGATTTCGAAGCACTCTGATCACCGATTAGAAATATGCCACGTGTGGTACCATCTGCGTTTCTAGAATTTGGATTCTCCCTTAATAGCAATTGACCAAGACTGAAGGCATGACGAATTGGGTCACCATCACCACGACTCCATTGTCTCATACGTTCGCAGAATTCGTCCATAGAATCGCTTAAGGTGTTTTCATTTACAGTCATGATTTGAATTTATTTTAAGTGATTTTTTTCTGTCAAAAATATTCTATTCTTTTTTATATTAATTTTTCTAAGACATAATAAATCGTACTTAAAGGGTCTATCACATTATTATAGCAATTTTCGGCATAAATAAACAAAAAATTAAATAGATATAAAGTTCTCATTGTGCTAAATATGGTATACTGTATTATAGAAGACCTATCCATAATAGGTTTGTAGCGGAGATTATTCTCCGAATTACGCCGCTTCAGATTATTATAGTTTATATTTCAAAATACTAGTGTGTGATAAAAGTAAAACTTTATTAAGATAATCAATACTATAAATTTGGTTATATATATGTAAAGTTTAGTCAAGATGAAATATTCTGGTATAGATTATCATCTACACCTTAAGGTATTTTGCAGATAAATTTGTCATGGCGTAAATACTAATCATTTTAAATAATGCCACTTTCATATTCAAAAAATAAAAATAAAAAAAAACAATATAATAAGAATTAATAAATCGCGAGTTGAAAAAATAAGAATTGCAAAATACAATATTTAAATCAGCTTATTAAACAGATAAATGATATGATATTTCATTACTAATTTGCTTAGGTGTAATGCACATTTTGCAAATCTAAGGTATTTTGGAGAATACAACATATCAAATATCGAAAAGGCAATTTATTAAATAAACCGAATACAATTAGTTTAACTCAACTGTACGAAACTCGCTAGAAACTCGTTTGTCTTCTATTTAATCTACTGTATTCGAAAAAAGTAAGTCATGTCGTGTAACTAAAGATGTTAACCAGATTGTTTGACATCAATTCGTGTAACCCGAGTTTATAAAAAATTGCGCGTGTTACTGCTGTTCTCATTACAGCTGTTTTCATAAATTCTGGGACACCTAAAAATTTTCGCGTTTCCCGGAATCTTTTCTGTTTCGTCCGGTAA